TTCGCTGTTCCAATTTCTCATTCGGTACAACGCATATTAAACTGGTTAAATTCAGTTTAGTCGTATCGCGATTAACATTCTTTGTCTTCCGAAATGGAATATCATCTGTCGGATTCAACGACTTTTCAAAAGGATAATCTTGGGCTGCTAGTTCTTAGACGATGGACGTACGGTCAAGGATGTAAGAGTAGGAATGAAGAAAATGAACGTAAGAAGGTGGGGGGAGAGATTTCCACGTTTCAAGAGCGAAGAACAACAAAGTTTCTTAATGAAGAATAACGCTTCCACCAGAGGAAAGATATTTCCACTTAACCGGGAATCCTCGTAGTCTTTCTTCTCCTTTGCTTTCTGTCCACGGGAATTGCTCTCCATTTCTCCCCTAATCTCTCGTTGTTTCTCGCAAAGTGCCGCGTTCCGATCCACCCTCTATTGACAGTGAGCCGTTCGAAACGGTATTACCTTTCGATCTGGTCCCTCATTTTAATGAAACTTGCCAGCAATGAAATGCTCAAACTTTTATGAACTAAACATCCCTATATTTGACTCGCTTGTTCGTATCGTCGAATGGTTATCGATTGAAAACCGGAAATTGGTCTCCGTGGAAGAATTAGAAAAAGGCAAAAATAACTCTTACAGAAATACTGTATAATTTTTTAACCCATATGCCTTATGATGTGTTATATTCGTGACTCTAGAAGATATTTTCTAAGAATTACTTCACGTTAAATATTCGCTTCATAGATATTAGCGACAATACCCTTCATGTCGCGAAAGTATATTGTGTTCAAGGATTCATAAGTTACGTTAAACCTCTTACGATGCACTTTTCTCTCGGAACAGTGAATTTTTATCGCCAGGCAAAATATCTTCGAGTAGCGATAGTTTCTTCGAATATTCGCAGGAAAAGCCATTAGTATTCCAGAGGCAGCGATCGCCACGAATTATCCCCTTATCGTTTTATAACGACGGATAAGGGAGCGGCGGGAGCTCTTTAACGGTAACGAGGAAACGTGCGCTGTCAGAGAAAAGTCGAGGATCTCGCGTCGCAACGTCGCGCGTCGCCCTCGTAATTTCGCAGACGAACCGGTGAAATCGCGCGATCGTAGAAATCGTGAACACCGGATTCGCAAGCCACTCACGCGTCGGCCATTCGCGTTCCTCGATAATCGCCGATAGCGGCAAAGATCCAGGGAGCCGTCAAAATGGAACTCGTCCGATATCCACGCCTACGTTCGTTCCGGTCGAGACAATCGGTCGCCATTTACCTGAATTGGATAGGTTGGGATAGCCCCGTACAGCCAGCTGGACGACCTAGATCTCGGGAAGATCGAAAGATTCCGCCTGCCCGGAGAGATGGAAGGTCGATAGAAGGAAATGGGCATCGCGTGAGAGGCCAGCACGAAATCGCGACGATCTGACGTTATCTGAGGAGTCCCGGAGAGTCCTCTTTTGACGACGTCATACGGAACCGCTCCTCCCGCTCGAGTTCTCTTTCTTCGCACAACGCGCTCTGATCATTAAGAAAATTAAATGCGCCGCATGTGGAACGATCGATAAATGGACGCGATGCTTCGTAATGCGAAACACGCTCGTGGAGTTATGAGAATTTCAAAAACCGAGATGATGAAGTACGAAAATTTGGTAATGTAGTTCTTGTATTTAAAGAATGTTCGAAACGTAGGAAATTGTCAACGAGTAGAAATTGAGAACTGGATATAAGAGTATGATAATGTATTACGTATTAGGAATATCAACGTCAATGTAGGAATTTGCAATAAAAGTTTACGAATTTAGTAACAAACTTGACATTCTCAAATGACTTACATAACTCTTAACCTCTTCAAGTGCCGAGTCTCACTCGTGATGGACTTAAAGCTCAAATGTGACAAACCCGACGCAAATTTTGAATGCTCTTCAACTTGAAATTTAGATCCAACTATAAGTTGCAATATCAAGGATCTGATAAATAAATGGCACGAGAAAGGGTTAACAATAATCTGTTTGCGATGCAACCCTCTGACCTAAGAATATAAAAATACCCTTTAATTCGGAACAAAAAAAGGTGATTAAAGCAGACGCAGTATGTACTTGTGTAGGGCAAATTGATCGACAAAGGAGAGTCCAAACGACAAATCTGATCATTGTAATTAGTTTAGGAACAGCTGATAAAGAGAGGGTCCACTGGTCGAATGAAACATTAACGAGACTGCATCTGGCCAATGTTCCAATCAAGTGTGATTGTTCGAAATTGTGAGTGGCCGAGGGCAGAACACGTTTGGCACATAACGCGGATCGATATACATGTTTCGAGGTCGACCACGGTCAGTGGATAGGAATACCATTGCCGGTATTATTGTGTAGGATGTTGCGGGCCACCCTAGTGTCGCGCGTGTCCCTTCTTCGGCGAGGGTGCGGCTGATGCGGGAGCACGACGGGCACAGATTATCGGTACACACGATGCGGAATTGATCCCTGAGGCATGCCTGTACGTAAAACTTTCCTGGATGAAAATACCTCGGATTGTTTGTCCGTCCGCGTGGGAAAATTTTCGGCTACGCCACGTGAATAAACTGGACATCGTTGCTTGTCATATTTATTAAACGCGCACGTGAAAAAGGGTGATTTAAGTAATCCACCGTTAAAGCTTTCAACAGCTTATGCCTATGTGCTTTACGAGAATCCCCGATGAAAGTCGTTTGCTTATTTTTGTAACTTAACGTCGCTTTTTCACCGGTATTATAGAGCTCCTATTAATCTGTTAATACAACAAGCTGTGTGTTGCATATGGTTTTTGTGATTACAAATTTCTCTTCATTCATTTTTAATAAATTCGCAGTGTAATTTTTAGTAAATTGCATCAATTTTAGTTTATAATGGAAGACATTATTTTGAAAGTAATGGACTCTAAAATAGTGCAGATTAAATCACAAATATTCCGTTATATTTAGAAGCGATGAATAATGAACAAAATCGTGATAACTGATTTTCGGTCGGCAGTGATTGATACCAATTAATTTAACGATAAAACGCTCGATATAATCGATTAGCTGAATAGTGGCTAAATTTCAATCACAATAATTTATTAAATAGATTATTCCGGTTACGTTGAACGTTGAAACATTTGAAACCAAATACAATATTCCCAAGTTTGGAAATTTTGAAAATTCGACAATTTATGTATATGATAATTAGGGGATTTGAACATAGAATATTTTCGTTGGTTTTTGATGTCGAATATAGAGGATTCCGTATAAGAACGACATACACACGCGAAACGAAAGCGAAGGATCGAAATCCTCGCTTTATTTGTGAGCTCGAAGTTTTGTATTAGCGTACGAGCGGATTGCATACGGGATTTAATCGAAAAAGCCACAACGATCCACGGCTCCGTACTAATTTCGCCGGTCGTCGTATAAAACTAAGCGTAGAGAGTATTTTGTGCTTGGACCGGTGCCAGCGACCAGGTAAATACAACGTTTTATGGAGATAACGTCAGCTTCGCTTCTGAAGAGGTGAATCGTAAATGAAGCCAGTCAGGCATCCTTAATTTGGAATCGACCGACCGACTAGTCGGATTAGCGAGACATATTTATCGACGAACGCTAGTCGTCTGCATCCTCCGTCGAGTAAAATCGCCATATATTCAAACTTTCAGATTTCCAGACTTACACGATTCCAGATTCTCACATTTTAGAATCCTCAAGTTTACAAAGACACCATCGTCAAATTTTCGCGTTTACAATTCAAGTTTACAAATGTAACAATTTTTAATTTTGTAAATTTCTGAATAAAGTTTTAGTAGACTATCAGACACCCTGCATAAATCAATCGCAACTTAAGCGATCAAGTCGAAGGGAAATATCGCCAGCGGCAGGCGTGGTTGTGGCCCTTCGAATACGATTTATTCGATTCCGTGTTGCTCGCTACTCCATTACGACGTTGACTAATCAACTTACGTCGATTCCATTTGAGTCGTGGCCAAAAATAAAGGGGAGAAACTAGGCGAGAAATGAGCAAGGAAGAAAAAGGAAGAAGCTTAGCCCGAAGGCGACCAGAATCTTCGATAATGGGAGACAGGTTAACGCAATAATGGGCAGATCAAATGTTCGTCGAAGCGCTCGCGGGCACTGGTTTGCACTGCGATGGGCTGTTGCAGATTTCATAGAAATTTCAAATCTGTAGATATTTAGAAAATTGGTCACTTGAAAATTTAAAAAGCTGTGTAGAAATATTTATAAATATAGAAGTTTTGTAATTTAGAAATTTAGAACTTGGAAATACATATATAAAAACTGACACAACTGAAAATTTAGAAACGCTATATTATCAAATATAGAAGTATCAAATTTATTTTGGGAACATTAGAAGTATCCAGGCGTTAAATACACGCAAACTTTTAAATTAAAAATAAAATGGAACATGAGACTTCAGAAATGTGGGAATGCGCTGTAGAGTCCCGAAATTATGTGGTAACCGAAAATTTGAACAATTCCGAATAAAAGTCTCGAATTTCGAACTGTTAAAATTGAGAAATTGTCTGGCTCACTTACACGTGGTTGGCCGTGCTCGCCGTTAATGCAACAAAGTAACGCTTTTCCGCTTTCGCGAAGCTCGTCGAAGCCGCAATATTCGATTCGCCTCCGGCGAACGATATTGCGAAATAAAAAGGGTTAAATTAAAAATTCTCGGTCGAGTGCTCGGTCCTTCGAACGACAGACTCGAGAATATTCTTACGGAATTTGAACGTGAAAGCACGAAGGTAGAAAGAGAGAGAGAAAGTAGCCTGAGAGCGTTGCATTTTTCTCTGTCGTTCCTCTAGTAACCCGAAGGCTTCGACTTTTATAGCAAGCCGCGTATAAAAGCCGGCTCTTTGTGCCTTCGTAAACCGTCCTTATCGATATTTTTCGATAACAAAAATGGAGGACCAGAAGGAGGGGTTTCTCCTTCGACCTGGTCGTGTCTCGACCTGACTTCAAAAACATTCTCTTTGTATGTTGCAGAACGATACGATGCAAGTGGTTTGGCAATATCACGAGGAGAAACCGGTATCCGCAGCCGGAGTTTTGCCGGATCGTGTGGCCATTCGTGGACCCAAACCACTTTATTTGGTGCAAAGGGACGCGGAACCTAGGCCCAGCTCGCGCAACCAGGAAGCCGAGCCGCCTCTTCAAACGTGGGACATATTTAACGAGCAGGTTGGTACACGATCATATATCGCGGCGCGTCTTCTCCTGGCTCCCAAACGATCGATTACTCTCCGTATTTTATATTTATGCAACGATCGTTCCCGACGCGACACGGCCGATGATGTGCGAAACTCGGCGAAATCGCGTGGGCGGAAAATTATGGTGTAATACGAGCCATTGCGTGGCGGATATTCCATAATATGATTATACAGGCGTGGAAGGAGGATACGGTATCGATGCAACAACGTCTTACGTGTGCATAATGATAGAGAGGGACAGGCGTAGGTGGTAATAATATAATGTATAGGTTGGTTCACGGGATTTTGGGTGTTAGCTGAATTAACTACGCGGGGAGACCCAACGGATCTGTACAGGTGTGTAAACGTGTTAAGATTAGCTACGGGATTTAGGTATGTTGCAAGTAGCTTCGCATATGACTGCTTACGTTTGCGGTAATTCAAGTTTCATCACGTACCGAAGATCAGTCGATATCTATTATCTATGTATCTCAAGCTTCTCGGTATTTTAGTATTGACAATTCCTTATTAGCTATACTCCGCTATTTTTTATAAATTTCATATACAGGGTGTCATATAATATATGATACGTAACAGGGAAGGGGTGACACAATAGCAACGAGAACATAAAATTTTACAATGACAAAAATAAGATGACAGTAAACAATAACATTTTTCATATGGGACTTTGAGAAACGCTGCAAATTTTAAATGAAAAGAGTTCATTTGACAATTTTCATTCAGCGAAGTATCTACGAGAGTCAAATTTTATTCCGAAAGTACCCGGTATTCTTAAACGCACATTGAACCTGATACACGACTATAAAAGAGTGAGGAAATTCGTTGAGCGAATTTTTACGCTCATAGTTCCTCTATTTCCCATTCAGTTTATGAGGGAACAATTGGCACGATTTGACGGTGTCGTTCTATTGCTTAATGGTTCGTGGCGAGAGATACGAACAAGTTTGATATTCAATGTGACAGCGAAAGAATAATCTTCGATAACGATGATTAAAGAGTTTTAATTACCTTCGGTTCGTATTAAGCTCGATCTTGGCGAGAGTCGATGTCTTTGAAAGACACGCAAAGCGAAGTTTACTTTTCGTGTTAGTGTGTAAGTCGAAATGAATCGTGGTAATTCCAATTCGTTCGACCGTCTGTGAACACCAATACGAATCCATCGGATGATGCGAACGTATTGGTCGCATTCACCGTAACCGCGATCGACGAAACTTAATTGTAATTGACTGAATCGGTGTTTGAAACTTTTAAAGAGGTTACGACGGAACGAATCGAACATTAATGAAATTATCTCGATGAACATTAGTTAGGTAAACGTAGAAACATGTAGGACGTCTGATCGAATCGATATCCGTTAATCTTTGATGATAGTAAAGCGAATATGAGCTTCGTCATAAATCCCTGAGCTTATTCCATTTGTCGATCACAGTTTTTCACAGGAGTGCGTCGTTCTATTTAAAAACTTAATGCCTCTGTATGATTTAATTCAGTTTATTTTACAGTCTCTTTGATATTAGACTCATTTTTTTTTAATACAATCGTGACGTCAACGGTCACCCAAATATTTCTATCGGTGAGAAAAAATAAATCAAATTCAAATTATTTGGTAAAATGTAAGTTATAAAATTTTTTATGCAAAAAGTATTCGGTCATTTGTACAAAATAATTTCCACTGTAATTGACCTTTGACCTTCAATGACCTTGCATGACCTTAAACCGTAGACATGTACATTTTAAAGCACTCTAATATATTATACGTAAAAGAAATCATATTATTGCGTTAAAATAACGAAGTCGATCCCTCCTCTATGTGACTTAGATAAAAATTGTTGAAATAAAATTATTTATCCCTCGATAGCAAACGACGTTTTCCTATTACAAATAGCAGTTAAGATACCTATTTGTCTTGTTACAAGTGGCTCGCTATAAAGTACTGTAGTACAACGATAAATCACAACACGAACAGTTTGCAATTGATTTCAATAATTTTGAACAAGTACCCCGGATTGCTAGTTTACGACTTCAAACTAACTTGAATCGATTGCTGCAGACTTCGACGACCGATTCCAACAAACTGTCATGGTCCACCTAGATGTTCAATTTCATTGCATTCGATTTATCACGTTCCCGATCGATGTATATCCTCGGAATTTGCTCGTTGAGAATTGTCAATCTATAACACGCGGAAAGTTTATTTATTTTCGCCTTTAAATTGAACTAAACACGATAAAATTAATCGGGTGAATTTGTACGTTCGTATTAAATCAAATATACTCTGTGTATAATATAATCATTTGAAAATCTTTGTCCATAACTCTGCGTTATCACATCAAGTATCTAAACGACGCAAGTTCGTTTACCAATTTGGTGAAATAATGGCTCCAGATAATTATCTAGCGACAAGTTCGAACATTCAGAAAGGGATTGAGTTAATAATTTTCATGCTACCTAGACTCGATCAAACTTCGGAGCAACTTCATGAACATTAAACTTGGTCGAACTTGGCCAAACTTCAACGATCAAGTTAAACAACCAAAACAGAGAAACATTGTTCTCGCCCACAAAAAGGGATAACTCCATTTGACCCCATAACATCCCCAACGTAATCTCAACGCAGGCCACTAATTTTGCCGGCCTCGTTTCTCGCTCGAATTGGCCGTCTGCAATATGTTGGCTCATGGGAAGTTATTACAGTGGTCCACGACTTTCCATTTACGCGGCAAAAAACGGCTGCATTCAGTTCCCGGTATCTTTTATTCAAAGATGGTAGCGCAACGTTAGCTCGTTCGAGTACGCTGTCGATTCGATCGCGATTCCACACGCACAACGCACGCGATCGTTGCCCGTCGCGAAAGGGCGGGCAGAGTGGGTGGCTCGGTTGCGCGCGAGATGAATGTTCGAACGCGTTTAACGTTCAACTCGGCGCGAGTGGATTTTTATCGGGCGCAAGCCGCACTGCATTGTGCACCGAATTTATGACGGCATAAATCTTAACCGGGTCACATCCGGCAAAAACTATTCGTTCATTAGCGTCGTCGAGTCATAGATTATGGGCGGACGCTATCGCCGGGATCGGACAATGCTAATTCCACGGCCTGTCGGGCTTCTGCTTATAGTTTATATCGGTGCCGGGTTTAGGAGCAGATTTATGCGATTCCTATTCGTATCGAGGAAGAGATCGATCATCGCTAAACAAATGAACGACTACGAAAAACGCTCCAAGTTCCTCCGATCATTTTCCTGGCTTATAATATTCGAAGATTTGAGTGAATGTATCCCAAATTATAATTCGATCACGAATAATTTATCGTACAATCGCAGCAGGTTTGTAATCGAATCGAACACTTTGCATTTCCCGTAATTTGTAACGAGATATATCACTATCATCCTATCCTATTACACGAATAGTGGCAAGTTAGATCGTTATTATTTATGCAAATTCAATAACGTACCAAGTATCCTCTGTAAATCAAAATATTTGCAAATCCAGCTCCGAATCCAGTATACGCTCTGAATAAAACATACTAGCAAGAGCAGTCAATACTTTGAAAATTTCCGCTGTTCAATTCAGTTAGAATCCATTAACTTTTAGCGAGGAACATGTATCAGTCAGACACATAACCCGTCACCCTGACGTCTCACGAACCAAACAGACCAGTAAAAATGGCGCGATTGTTGAGCACGAAACAAGGAACGTTGCACAACGACATACACACAAACATATACAGTGAAAAAGATCGAACTATAAAATAACTCAATAAAGCGGGAGCGAATCATGAATTCGGTATGATGTGACCCATAAAATTTCCATCGTCGAAATCCTCGTCGAACGAATACCTATCAAGTTTTCCCGCTGAATGGCTCTTTCGATATTTTTGTATAATTCAATCAAGCGTGTCAACGAGTTGCGTAATGGAAGCGTGAACGAGCGAAAATAGGGTGACCGGGCGGGGTGATGGGTGGTAGATGGCATTATCAGGAGAACCAGAGGGTGAAATAATAAATTGGAATTACGAAGGAGGCGGAGGGGGATGGCCAGTCGAAATCGAACGACGCTAATTTCATCGGTTCTGTTTACAATTTATATCGAGTGGAATCGCGAGAACCGGCGGATCTGTTTCGGTGCTCATCACGCTGTAACAAATTACCAGCTTCTACCGGCTGCAAAGGAATTTACCCGTTTGCCCGGCAAATAGAACGATTCCATTTCGCTCTTTCGTGCTTTCTCACTTGATATCGTTCCGTTACAAAATTGTTCGCGCGATGTTTCCTACCTTTCAGCGCGAATTTCACGCGAAAACGCTACGCCTGTCTCTCGTCTCGCGATAAAGCGCGAGCTTCTTAATTTCAGCCGTGGCTGATTACTCGCAGCGAGCTTCGTTGAAACTTTTCGTAACACGATCGTGGTTTTAATTGTCCCGGCGAAAGCAACCAACTCCCCACTCTCCGTTCAAGACACCGGGAGGACATTAAAGTTCCGCGTCGCGTCGCTTATCTTCCCTTCTTACTTCTTTCTTATGCGAATGCTACTTGTTCTTCGCTAACTACGTACGCGGAAGTTCCGCGACGGTCGAATAACTTTTGTATCGCGTCGCGATGAATATGAATGTCTGCGGGCACAAAGAAGAGCCCGGCTTGTTAGGACGGGTTTGCATTCATTCGGACCCCCTTTCCCAACCGACAGCGATACTTTTTTCGCGCTCGTTTCTCGCGTCGAATCCAAAGGAAAACTTCGCCGTCGAGGGCCAAAATCGCCCTCGGGCATCGCAGATATTTCGCCGCTGACGAAGGCGCCTCTCGTTGCCACCAGATTTCAGATCCTTTTCTCCCCAAATTGTTAGAGGTTCTCAACTTACTTCTTACTTGTACTCACAAGTTTACGATAATGCAAATTTATATCTGCTTGTCGGACGATAACAATTTAATCAATCAACTACAATGTACGACCCCTTAATTGTAAAAGGTACACTGCCTCTTATGTACTTCACTATTAACTATCTGTATGGTACACCTGTCTAGTTAATCAAAAGCCTGAATATACTCATGTACCAACTAATTTGAGGTTCAGTAAAATGAATGCATATAGAGTAATCCAGAATTTGTAAATCTTGTACAGCTCCTAAAGTGCACAGACAAGGTTGAATCTGTACATTTGTAAATTTTCTCAAATCGAAATATTCATCACCGTTGATCGAGCCAGTTAATCAAAGTGTTAGTTAAAAATTCATTTTGAACAGTGTTTGAAGATTTACGAGGAAAGTTGCGAACGAGGTTTGATGGAAATAAGGTCGTTTGGGTCAGCTTCATCAGCTACATGCTCATCATCAATCACGGCCTCGGTAAATGTAGTTTATCAAAGTGTGTGTCACTTTCTTCAACCCCCGGAGATGGTAGCCGGTAACATGGTTACCGTAACTTTAACCGAGTTTCTGTTATATTTCGTAACATTTATTAGCGAGCCGTACGATATTTTCTCCTCCCCGATATTTTTCTTGCCAGCATGTTTCGTTATTTTTGTTCGCGACAGAAAAAGGTCCTCTCCGAATACTCGTAATTTGTTGGTTCGAGTTCATAGCGCATGAATTCATTAAGCAACTAACATTCCTCGTTTATTTTCGGACTTGACGGAATAAAAACACTTTAGTGTATCTTTCAACGGGCTTCTTTCACATAGTTCGAGGCTAATTTTTCTTTCAGTCGGTTCCAACGATCAGATCCGATTACGAAAAGGGATCACGACGGGTTATTAGTTATTTATAGGAGCAACAGCTCGAGCAAAAAGTCGGCGCCGGGTTGAGAGACAGGAAAGGGTAAAATACGAAGTGAACCAGTCGAGTAACATAAAACGCGTTTTTACTTAGTCAACTCGTCGAAAGAAGCCTCCCGTTTGAACGAGTAGCACGGGAAACGCGGGATAATTATCCCCCTTTCTTTCCGAGAAAAGACATATCGAGAGAAAAAGCATGCAACTTTATGAATAGCGCTATGATGTTTGATCGTGCCGAATAAATAAGATAAATGTAGCAAGATGGTGGAAAATGAGAGAAAATGAACGGGGATGTATTAAAGGAAAGCCTTTAACTTGTTGACTACTATGGAGATCCTCCGCGTTGGACGCCATCAATTAGACACAATGAAGTACTCAGACGGTTATATTAAAGCACAATTTTAATAGCACTGCTATTGTGACTGCAACGATAGAGAATTGTACGAAGTAGTTTACTGAATGAAACTATTGTCATCTATATAAGTGACGATACAATTTCCTAATTTGAAAATTTGATGATTTTCAGATTTAAAGGTTTCTGTACTTCTAAATTCGAACCGTGGTGTGTTTTCAAAAAATATTGCTGTTACTCGTGACTCCATACGGACTAAAAACACAGAATGTATAATGGATTGATCTTGCTATGTTTTCTTTCTCCGTTGACACCAAGACTTCTTACACAGCCTCGAGCTTTTCTTGAACGCAGCATCTTGTACCATCTATCTTTAGTTGACGCATCTTTCACGAAGACACGTATCCATATTTAGCCGACATGGTAATTGACGTATCTATGGACAAACCTTCAACTTAACAATCGTTTCTCTATATTCCATCATACATAATTCATTTTACATACAGCATGTTTCATATATGAATTACAGCATATGTGAATTCAGCATATAGGAATTCTACGTATAGGAATTCCGCATATAGTTCCGTATTCGGAGTAAGTTTCGCGTAGTGATCGCGTGAAGGAAGTTGCACGAAAACAGCGGCAGAAGTAGAAATCGTAAACACAGCTCATCCAAAATCTCCGTAGAGCCCGGGGCGTTTCAGCACATTGGACCGCAAAACAATAAACGCAGTCGTTCTTCTTCGGTAATCTTGACATCGATAATTTCGCAGAAGCGCGTGGGAGAATCCGGCGGCGGCGTTGCACGAGCTTAGGGCGCTGTCGAGGAATACGAGACCGCGAAAAAAGAATTGCAATTTTCTCGGGATCATCGCGGCCGCACACACCCCGCGGCTGTAACGCGAACCGACAACATTTTTCTCTCTTTTACTCCACTCTCCTCGATTTCTCACCCCCGTTTTCTCCTTTTTTTATATATTCCGACAAGATCTTTTTCAGCGTCGTAAACATAACTCGATCGATGCTCGATTTTTATTCGATCGTTAAAATGCTCGTGATTGTGCCGGGAAAAGAGATATTTTAAATCGACGCTCCCGATGAAATATCGAAAGCGTAGATTAAATTGCTTCCCCTGTATACTTTTGTGAAACGTGTTCAAACTGAAAGCGTGCGGTTTGGCAGGAAACTGATCGTTAGGAAATTCAATTTATGAGATTGATTTACATTATTTGTTCAGATACTGAGCAGTTCGATTCGCGGGAAGATTGTTGCGCGTGGAGACATATATTTCGATATTCTTATATCTTTAGAGTTTTGATTCTTGTATCTCTGTATGTACTCGTATCTTCACATCCTTGGAATAATATCTCTATATCCCTAATTCCATGTATCAGATCTCAATATCTCTAAATCCACAAATATCTCGAGATCCTCATATTCCTAGATCCACAAATATCAACACATCTTTAAATTCCTACGTCCGCAGACATCTATATTCCAAGATTCAAAATGAGTCGGTATTTGAACAGATAATATAAACCAATGTACAAACGTATTTCCAGCGATTTGTTAGCTAACGATGAAAGAGCATAATCGATAAGCTTGAAACGCGACAGGTAAATACAGCTACACAAGTTGTGTATCCGTACGATACAGGTAGGTAATATTACCTGGATGGTTGGTCGAGTCGCATCTCTGAGCGCGATATTAAATTCAATTTGTTTGCGTTCATTTCGTTCTCCAGTTGGCCGATATTAATCATCCCTTTACGAAGAATTTATATCAGTCGTTTCCATAGATAGATTGAAATTAATAACGTATTCGTTGATAGTCCCTTTGATCGCGGTGCGGATATTTCGAAAATCCTTTCGTTGAAAAACGCCGATGAAAAAAACGAGTGTGTATAAAGAGGAAATAAAATGGCGGAGTGAGTAGTTTGAAACTATCGTTCGTTGAATTAACTCTGTCGCGCGAATTGTCCCGGAAAGTGAGTAAGAAGACAGGTGAAATTAGAAAAACAGTTTTGCAGGGCAACAACGACGGGCGTGTATCCCGCTAAATACCACGTTACTCCATTAACGGGTATAGACGGATTTCAGCCACTTTCGTGCAGCGTCGGATGAGTTTCCAGTCGCGTTGTACGCCGGGTCTGCACATAACAAGCGTTAACATTCGGGAAGTTTTGAGAAAGCATTTACTCGCGCGTGTACGACCAACGGCGTCCATTTACCCTCGTCCAATTTCGTCTCTCCCCTTTGTTTCGCTGTTCGAGTGACTGGTTTCGACTTTTCCTTTTTTCAGTTTTAATTTAAACGATATACCGATACAAATAAAATTATGCGAGTAAATTTACTTTAGTCGCTGTCGATTACCGAGTTCGGTAATTCTTTCGTATAGCAAGGGTTGTAGTAAATTAACGAAATGTACAAAATTGTAAATAACCACTGGATAATTAGAAATAAATAGGCAGTAAATAAATGTGAAAGCACTTGTATATGTAGTTTAATTATGATTTTCGAATTACTGTTTAGGTGACCTTACCACGAGACGGGAAGACGTTGCTTTGGTGCCGCGTTATCAAGATGCCAGACATTAAACGGAAGTATCACGTTGTGAAGGTGAGTTCCCATAGCCATAACCTACTTACTCTCCGTGTCTTATACGCATTCAGCCAAAGTAAACTTGATTAAACCGGGAGCGTAGGTGTAGATTCTCGTAGACGTGGGAGCAGCACGGGTGCCAGTTTTCCGAGTGAAAATACTCGCGGGATTTTCTGGTCCATTCACAGCAATCGTTTCTTTACGTTTATGTCTAATTATATTATCTTAATCGTTTAACAAAGCTGTTAGTTTCTTAACTCTCTAATCGCTATATTTATTTTCTGAATTTCTAAAGTAAATTTTGTGTGACTTTGAACGTTCTGTGACTATCTAATGGAGATTGTTTCTATTTTAATATATAATAATGTAAGTTTTTCTAGTCAATTAGTTCATAAGAATGCTGTATTGATGTTTCAGTGCAATTTTGTTAAATTACAGAACAAGTTTATTAAATCTTATAAATTTAATATATCTAAACTGTCAACTTAACCCAAGCTCATATATAATTCATCCTACGTCACTCTATCATTTATCGAGTTCTGTAATCCTTCCTGTCAGGATAGATTCAGAGTTCAAATATGTATAAATAAATATTAATAGTGTAATTGCATTAAGTTGGAGTTGAACAGAAATAGATTTCAGCGACAAAATTTACATTGAGATTACATTCCATTACCCTGATTCTACCTGAATTAAATAATAAGATCGATAGTTCATCGGCTATCAATCTTTAATCGAGTTTAAAATTCCTTCCCTTCTCATGGTGCACCGAACTATCGACTCGTTAAAACATCTATGATTTATCAAAGTCGTGCACAGAAACGTCGATACAGAATTGTTACAAGTATAATGAACACATCTTCAATAAGTGATAACACGATATTTTTTCAATTCTTTTTCAGTACGAACCAGTGATACAACCAGGAAGTCAAGAGTATCTTCATCACATGACATTGTACGAGTGTCGCGGGAATCAGGAGCAATTGGAAGCCGCTTCGGAATCGTCCGGTGTCGTTTGCTATCAACCTAATCAACCTTCCCTTCCATGCACTACAATCGCTGCTATCTGGAGTGTGGGCTCAGAGGTACGTCACGTGATGTGTTTGAACGTAAAATGAAGAATTAAGTAAGCCTGACCACACTGCGGATCGAATAAATTTTGGCCTAAGCAGAGCGGAAAATTAAATTCGTTCTCGGTTCGTGCGGTAAATAGCCAGCCGGATTAATTAAAATTTATCTGATCGATTCGATACATCGCGTATACAATCCTCGTACCAAATAAACACTTAATCACCTATTTATTTATTTATTATCGCGTATATTATTGGTTTCGCGAGTTTTAGCATTTAGGGAGCTGGGGAGATGGAAATTTAGGAATTTGGATATTTGGGCATTGGAAAATTTCAGAATTTTGGAATTTGGGGACTTGGGGATTTGGGGATTTGGGGATTTGGGGATTTTGGGATTTTGGGATTTTGGGATTTGGGGATTTGGGGATTTTGGGATTTTGGAACTTTGGGATTTGGGGATTTGGGGATTTAGGGATTTGGAGATTTTGGGATTTGGGGATTTTGGAATTTTGGGATTTTGGGATTTTGGGATTTGGGGATTTGGGGATTTGGGGATTTGGAGATTTTGGGATTTTGGGATTTGGAGATTTGGAGATTTGGAGATTTGGGGGTTTGGAAATTTAGAAATTAGGGAATTTCAGAATTTAGGAACTTAGAAAATTTGGGGATTTGGGGACTTGGAAATTTGGGGATTTGGAAATATGAGGATTCAAGTATTCGGGGATGTGAAAATTTGTAAATTTTGACATTTTGAAGTTTGAGTACACAAAAATTGAAAAATCTAAAAATACGAAAAATGTTCGTCCTTATAAAGAAGCCTACACTCGAATCTACAAGGGCTTACTCCTGTACATTTACTGCCTACCGTACATCCACATATTTATTATCTAATTTTATGACAGATAATTAATATCTAGTGCAGTAAATGTAAAGATGCATATTTGTTGCGATATTTTTTCGCATGATTTTAATAAGCCGCATGGTGGGAACGTTTGTGGAACGAGCAATTAAATCGCGTCGGGATGTCGCGTGTATAATTACCGGTTGGCCGACGATCCTCACCGGTTACTCGCGTTTCGAGCGACCACGAAGAAAACGAGTTTACTTGCTTCCCATCGGTATGCATTACACAAAACCCAGAATTACTGACTCGCGTTCCCTGGCGTGTCTCTTACGCTCGTCTTGCGACGACGTCCGATTAACATTCGTGGACAGTGATTTATCCCAGTGTAATTATCCCCTGTAACTGATTAAAATCATGATTATATCGCCAGCGTGATTTATGCATGCAATTACCATCGGATCGTTTTGTGAACGGAGCTTTTAGATGATGCCAGGAAATATAGATCACGGTAACGACAGGATATTGAAGAAACCTGTTATTCGCACCGTTGGTTAATTAAGGAACGATTCCGATTATCGATTTATAAATTCATTATTCAGAATCGTTCTTTCATTTGTTATACAATGTTAGAAGGTACAAATCGTTTATTATTGCTGGCTGGAATCATCGAAGAGCTATAATTAATATTATATTGGCATCTAAATGCTTCTCAATTCTTTGCATTGTAAATTAGAAAATTTAAAAGAAGTTAATATGCAAGTAATAATATGTGCACGACATGATCTCAAGATAAATCTATACACATATATCTGTCACTCCGATGTGTTTAATATTGCACATTTGAGTTTGAAAGCATTACAAAAATTATTTATACATGTAGAAAATTATGTTAACACCGTCTCCACCTCAAGTTACCAAGCATACGAGTTACAGATGCGTAATATTACAGGAGGTTTGGTGGTTTTGAAAAATGACTTATAATTCGATATTTTGGTAGAAACATATTACCGCTAAAGGACATTAAAAAAGTACAAAGTCGAGACTCGTTCCGGTATGTTTCCAAGGACCGGTCTATTTAGAAGGTTCGTTGTCGATTTGCTTGCAGGGCTTCAATTATCCACCAGAGGCGGGTTACCCACTCGACCCACACTCGGGGCCGCGATTCTACATGTTGGAAACGTTATACACGAATCCACAGATGGACGCGTTCATCAGCGACAGCTCCGGGTTGCGTCTGCATTATACGGATCGGTTGCGTACCCACAACGCAGGTATCCTCAGCGTCGGCATCGACCCGAACTGGAGGCACATCATACCACCCGGCCAACGCGAAGTGGTCTCCGAAGGTCATTGCATCTCTGACTGTACCAAACTGACCATCCCCGACAGCGGCATCAACATATTCGCCGTCGTCATGCATACTCATCAACTCGGGAGGAAGGTCCGACTGCGTCAGATAAGGTTTAGCGAGGAACTGCCACCCATTGCATCTGACACCAATTACGATCCTAGTTATCAGGAGTATCGGAAACTGCAGAAGCCCGTCAGGGTCCATCCGGTGAGTGTTGCTCGTGATTTCAACGTCACGTCCTGTCTTCTGCATTGTTCAACGGCCATTTAGCCCTTATACAGTCACTAATCTTCTACCTTGCAAGGTCTTTCGTTTACCTTCGACTAATTGATATTGATGTAGTTTTCGAACACTTACTGCATATTATTTCTTTATTACGCGATACCACAATTATAGACTCAACAATTTACAACAAAGCTAGTTTAAACGAAGTTATGGACTGAAGCCGAATATTCTACATTCGTCAAAATGAATAATATAGTAACACTCATAAGTTATAAATTTGGTATTATGTTACAGGGCGATCATTTGATAGCCGAATGCACGTACTCCTCCGAGTCCAAGGATAGAATCACGCTCGGTGGTCTAATGACAGGAGAGGAGACCTGTTTGGTGTCAACTCTTTATTATCCACGTATCGAGTTGTCCGTCTGTTACTCTCTACCCTCGTTACCAACGGTTCTGAGAAGTCTGGGAATCCAAGAGTTGGTGCAGTGAGTATTCGACACGTTTTTGTGCATGCTTTCGCTAACGATTTTTCGGTGTATTCTCCGTCGTTAGCGAAACGAGATTGTGGACACACGGCCGATTGAAATATCGCGAAATAATCATGGTGGTCGGCCGTGTTTTACTTTTGGTCCGGGTTCAAAGACCGTTTGATATTAATTTACACTGCGGAGTTGATGCCGGGCTAATGACGAACGCGTCTCTATACACAAAGCGTTGACCAGACGTTTGCTCCTTTTACTCTGATTACTTTAAATTGGCAATTAGGGACGGCGATGGCCCGTGCGTCACGACCGCACGACCTGTCGTTAGTTCAACGAGCACCGGTTATATTGCATCAGACAGACGCATCGCGTCGCATCGTTCGTTGCATTACGTAATGTTACGTTACGTGTGTCACGAAGACGCTTCCTGCAACGTGTCACGAACTTTAATGTAACGAGCGTCCTGTTTCGCTAAACACACTCCGGCCACATTGAATACCGTGGCTAAATTACTGTTATTACCGCTACTAATATCGGCAGGTCGTTGGTTAGTTGGGTCGTTAACTCGGTCGGAGATCATTGTCATCTTTGCGTGACATCGGTACAAACGACCATGTTTGTCAACGGTATGGTCATACACGATCGATTCGTTTTGCATTTTTTATTAACCTTTTCAAACTCGATGATTTTCGCAATTAAAAATACACATCACGTTACGCGTATGACAAGCCGATTAATAACACTGGCGATCAGTTTTGAAATTTAAACAGGTTATTGTGGAACGTATCACTTCTTCATTCATAAAATACACTGTTGCAAAAATAAATTGTACTACGCATTTTTCATTTTCATTTTCATTTGAGTTCATTCCCGTTCCTCTATTTTCTTTAATTTAACTAAACTTGAACATTCGAAAATGATTAAATATGCAGATGTACAAGTTGTGTCCCTGCTCAAAGGCTGCCCTCGAGTGTACGGATCTTGACGTATCCCGTTTCTCGTTGCAGGGATTCCAGTCCGGTTCTCATTCTAAAACCAGCGGAGTTGACCGGCATGACGTTAGAGGACCGTCTGGTGAGCTACAACTGGAAGAGCGATTTCCAGAGATTCCTGGATGCCACTCGAGGAGGTACCTTCAAAGCGCTCTGCTGGACCAGCAAGGGAGTACTGCCGGGCACTGAAAAGATGGAGGTCAATTATCCCAGGATCTTATCGCCGTACGAAGAGACCACCGTACCATGTTTGAAGAAACCGTCGAGGAACAAGTTGTCGATGTTGCTGAGCGAGGACGAGAACATAGGTGCACCGGCCGATCCTGACAGTGACGAGACGAACGCGGTGGAACGCGGACAATTGGTGCGCAGCAAAGTGTCCCGAAGCAGTGACGGACCAACCGGCGGAAGTACCCCGACCAGATCGCCGATCGTGGTTCTAATCCTTGGGATATTGGTGGCGATCGTCGGCGGCGCGTTCAGGTGAACACTGGCCGGTCGTCGCGAGGCCGATCGACCGACAGATCGATCGATTCCGTTTATCTAGGACGGCCGATTTATCCTGTTGTTGGTCGCGCTGAATCGGGGAGCAGACGCATGTAAGTACATACGTGTCCCGTGTGTACCCTCTTGACGCGTCACTTAGGTTAAAATAACAATCGTCGTATTTTGATTGGTCGTTGAGTGAGGACACGACGTAGATGCCGGGGTTCCTTTCCGATCCGATACGCGGTTTTGTCCCAGTTACCGAGCGAATCGTTGTGCAATTTTTAACCGACGCGTTCCCGCGAACAAAATTATCCACGGAACCGCCGAACGTCCTGGGAGAGAGACATATTTTTGATGGCTTGCGTAGAACGAATGAAACCCTCGGGCGACGATGAGTCGCGAAGAGTACTGCCAAATATATTTTCCCGATAACGAGCGTCCATTCGAGGGAATTCGGATCTAAGCTGTCCTCATTCAAGGATCGACCTCCCTTCTTCGCGATCTCTGCTCGTGTATTATTGTTAACGGTTAGGAATGCGCGGGTATCGCATCTCGGGACTGGGTTCGATCACATTCAATAAATCGAAGTTAGGGTAATCGAGTAATTCACGGATATTCTGAAGTTACCCGATTGTTTCCGATCCAGTCCGACATGTTTCGTTACCGGCACATCTCTAACCCATCGTGTGTTCGTACAGGACCGCTGTTGGATATCTTTCGATTCAGAGTGCGTAGAATTTTCGAAGAACAGAGGATTTGAAAAAATTGTAACATCATGTGCTAACGAGAAGAATATAATTCGTATTGTTTCGTGGATAGAAAGAGCAATCTTTTCCGCAAATATTCGATTCACGTTTCAATTTTCTTAGTGCATGTGACGCAACATCTGGGATCTTTCGATTGTACGGGGCACACGTTGCTGTTTCTTTTATCGCGTTGTCGCGTCGATGCGATCAAAGAAAATCACTCGAAATTCTGTTCAAAGAATTGCATTTCCGGTGTAACGTTAGCACGTTGTGCGCCTGCCCTGACCGTCAAAGCGGACGTTCTGGCTTTCGATTCCGTCAAACGAAAGGTCGACACGAGTAGTGAATCATAATCACTTCGAATCCTTCTCGTTACTTTTCTCCGCGCATATCGAGAACATGATATCGTTCTAAATGTTCAGTGACGAAAGTACGAACTCTTACGTACATCGTTGACCCCGGTTGAGCTTTGTTGAACTTACGTTCTTCGAGTTAATTAGAATACCGTAACCTTCTAGTCTTATTTCGAAATCACTTGACATTTTCACATGAAAAGAGCTCTTCGGTTAACGAATCTCGAACGAAAGATATTCGCGGAAAACGAAACCAGGTCCTGGCGACATAATTTTCAAGCTTCTGGACTCGAAAGAATTTATATTGTTGGCTGTTTATTTACCAGGCGAACCGAGCGAGCCGAACGCGTTCGATTTACTCTTTTCCGAAAGTAAACGTCACGAAATATTCAGTTCCTCCGATTCTGTAAGTGCAATTCAGGCATGGGCACGAAAACGTTCACTCGAGTTCATGTATTTGGAAGGCAGAATCTACATATTCTACTAACAGCTCTGTGCAAATGGTGAGAAGGCATTGTCTCGTAGTACAGTGCAAATGAGATCGTGGATGATTGCTGTGCACAGCTCGAAAGAAGTCTCCCGAAATTGTCGCAGCTTTGATTATATACCTTCACTTTGTTTAACATAGTAGTTACGGCATGTCATGTGTGTTTTAGTCATTCGTACAGCTGTGCTAATTAAATTGCAACGTAATTTAATTACGCTGTACTTGCAGTACATAGTAATTTCATTGTATTGTGTTTCAATTTCATGTTGATTTAATTAAATTGTGTTTTAATTACATATTAGTTTAATTATATTATATTTTCATTACAGAGTAATTTAATTATATTGGGTATCAATGACGCAGTAATTTAATTACTTTGTAATTGAAATATAATTCGATTACACTCGTAATTTACATGATTTCTTTTGACCTTTTATCTCTCGTTACCTCTTCGTGTTCCGATTTAATTTCGTTATACTTTATAATCGTATTTCAATTGCAGTTACAAATCACCGTATAATTCAGTGAAACGCACGATACATTATGAATTAAAATCTAATTGAATTAATTTATAACGAAAATTCGCGGAGTAATAACTGTATTACCTTATAACTCTCATTCGTCGAGACAGTTACATATAATAATAAAGTTCTATTCAGAAAGTTCGGGCAATACGAACAAATTACTTGTCCTTTTACAATTTCGCGAGACTTCTTGCTAACTCTACACAATATGTACTTACTATGTGGAGCTCAGGAGTTTGTCCTTGAAAGGAATGTAGGTCTAATTGGCTGAAATGGCCAGCCGCTGTCTCATTCTTGTTTAACGTGACTTTACGACGCACGTATTTTCCCTGTTGGCAGAAAGGATCACATTTACTAATCAAGTAACGAGAAGAGAGAACTAAACACGTGGATACTGACAATGAGCACGATAGAGTTATAATGAACAGGGAATTTCAAAGCATTGGCATGCACCGGCCATAATCAAGTATAATATATGTGCATAAGCTTAGGTGTAGACTTGCGTCGTATTAGTCTGTTATATCGCTGTTTAATCTCATTTGGAAAAGTGATTTGGGAATTTCAGGAGTTGGAAATTTAGGATTTGGGGATTTTAGGATTTGGGTATTTGAGGAATTGGAAACTTGGGAATCTGGGGATTTGGAAATTAAGAAATCTGAGATTTTCATGGTTTGAGGAGTTGGAAATTTAGGGATATGGGGTTCTGGGGATTTGGAAATTTAGGGATTTGGGTATTTGAGGAATTGGAAAGTTGGGAACCTGGAGATTTCGAAATTGAGAAATCTGAGATTTTCATAATTTGAGAGTTTAGGGATTTGAGGAGTTAGAAATTTAGGGATTTGGGAATTTGAGGAATTGGATACTTGAGGACTTGGACATTTAAGAATCTAAGAATTTAGAAATTAGGAAATCCAAGAATTTGGCAATTTGAGGATTTGGGAATTTGAGGAGTAGGAAAACTAAAAATTTGGGAATTTGAGAAATTGAAAATTTGAAGATTAGAACATTTGAGAATTTGGAAACATAAAAATTCAGAAATGTGAATTTGAGAATTCAAAAATCTAAAAATCTAGAACGTAAGAATGAGACTTCGGAAATGAAAAAAATGTGAAAATTCGAAGATTTGCGTCAGCAAACGCCACCATAAAATTTTGAGCCGTCTGCCCATGCCTGCCATAATCCCACAGTAATCCCGATCGAGCTGCTAGAACGCGTCTCGCTCAGTTTCCGCCAGACTTTGTATATTCTGTTACGATTAGAGCTGCGAATAGATGCGTTTTTTAACGAACAGACCATATAAACATTGGTTGATTCGCACACGAGGCAATGTTCCACATCGGCTTCGTCGTGTCACTCGACCAACGTTTGTATGCGAACCAGGACGGTCCTTTGTAATATTCTGTACAGTTTGTTAAGTATAACGCGTTGTTCGTGTGGCTATGCCGCGTTGGGCATAGTCAACGTTTATTTATTTTTTATTTAATTGTATAGAGAACGAATTTACTTGCCACGTCGACAACTGTACTCCTCGCCGGAGCGAGCGAGATGGCGCTTTACGTTTCGCGCGAGTCACGTTCGGTTTCTTGATGCATGCTTCACCGCTTATTACGGGGGACACTTGTCGTTGCGACGCTCGTTCAAACATGCGCGTTTCTATCGATTTATACGTGATCGATTCTACCAGCGAATGATACACGTGCTTCCGTTTCTTCGTGTACCGATTTATGGAGGTGCTTCTTAGGTCTGCTGACGGTAATCGTTAACCAATCGTTGACCAATCGTTGTCTATACATTTTACAGCTTGATAATGTAACGTAGACGCGTATCGATGTGATTTGGAGAATGATCAAATTGTATTATTGGATTCTTGTTAGTGAAGGAATTGTTCGAGTCTGTTTTTCCGAGAGCAATCGAACACGCGTGAAGACATTGAGTGATGGGCAACCGTATGGGAGTGTAAATGTTGTGTACATTGTTGATTTAAGATCTTGAAAATTTAATACTTTTAAAATGTCCAGATTATTACTAAATTTATGAACATTTGAAATCTCCATGAATCTCCCACAGTTACTGCGTGATGTCCGCGAGGCCATTTTTGCCCAGCACCGCTCTAAACCCCGTCCTCTTGTCTCGAATCGAAAACCGATCATAGCTCGTCGATTGTTTCGCGTTAGATCGTCGAGACTTTTTAGAGCCATTTCCCTGGACGCACTGTTTCCCTCTGCTGGTAGCTCGGGGGAATAAGAGCGATCCGCGAGTAATTTATTCGACGTTCTTTCTTCTCTCGTGCTTTTAATTAAACCGAATTCGATAATTGAAACTCGCGATGCCCGGTTTAATTTGATCCCATTCTTGACTCGCGTTAATTTATCCGCGCTCGACACTCGTGCATTCGGTTAAGTCTTTCGGAGCACCACTTTAATTATTGTAAAAAGAGAATTACGCGAAGGGAGACAGAGAAGGGTTGAACGATTGGAGGGTTAGAGAATAATAAAAAAAAAAAGAAAAGAAGGAAAGGGAGAGGAAAGAGAAAAATTATATGCATGATGGCGTGCAACGATGAGGACTTACGCCGGAGCACCGCGATCGATAGAGGCACGTTGTAGTCAAGAGTCCCCTAACGCGCACACTTTTCCTGAATTCCATTAGCATCGAGGAAAATGCAGCTTTCGTGGACAAAGAGACGAGAATCGAAGAGCCTTGCAAACGAGCGTCTTATCGAAATTTCACGGGAGAGGGGGAACCAGGAGTTTTCACGTTTCGATTTGCATGCACGTTTTTACTTTCTCCCTTCCTCGGTCGTCAATTAAAATCCAGCCATTCCGTTCGATCGCGCTCTCCTTGTTCGATGTTTAGAAACCGAATGAAAAAAACAAAAAAAAAATATATGAAACGAAAACACCGTTGCTCGACTCACGACTGTCGATGATCGAAAGCTCTCTCTCCCTAGCGTAGGAAATAACTCTCACTAAAAGGTAGTCGACTAAATCGGTTAACGATAAACGCGTAGCCACGTTTTACAATTTAATACTACGGTAAATTCGTAAATGTCTCTCATAGGAGATTTGTGTGTGTGTGTGTGTAGAGATCGTAGGGCAGTCGAGCGATACTCTGTTACCTCGAGGAGAAGAAAAAAATGCTATATTTTAGACGCTGCGAGGCCCGTTCCCTTCTTCGACCGTTATTCGTACTTGCCGAATCGATACTGCCGCGATTACTGCCAATCGTCGCTTCGCTGATAACCGATCGTCTCGATTCGCGATCACCCCTTTTTCCGTTTGTCGATTTTTCGTTCTCGTTGCGTGCATAGAGGTACATAGAACCATCGAGCCAACGCAAAGATTCACGCATACGCGAAATAAACAACAGATACACACAGAAACGAGAAACAAAGAAACTTTTGTACGAGAGTCGCCGTAAACTGGGAGAACATTGACAGGTTTTTGTAACATTTTGTTATATCAGGTACATTGTTTCATTTTTATCTCGTCAAATGTTAACATATTCCATAGTTAAAAATAATAAGAAATTCTTTATACAAATATGGAATAATAAGTGCTTTACTACGAAATTGTAAAATGAATGATTTTCTATATTTGTTATTTGATATTGCATAAAACGAATCAAGATAAGATTCAAACGACAGTAGATTGAATGCATCAATTTTTATCGACAAGTGCTGATATTTATTTGAAGAATAAATAATTTTTATATTTTTGTCATAATATTACAATTTTATATTTATACAACACTTTCTCTCAATCATGAAATATGCTAATATTTCCCGAAATAAAAATGAAACACCCTGACAAATACAAATTTTATATCTGTTTCAATCGTGTTATTGTAAGATTACAATTTACGAATATGAGAATGCAAATTTTTATTCTATTTATGTTTTAATATGTTAATTAACTGCCAATGTTACCCCACAACCGGAATAATTTGTTTATGTTTAATACTTCTCTTTTCATTTTTTTTATTTGTGCGCACAGTATTTTGCAGACATTATTGTTTATTACATGAAAATTGTTATTTTTAATGATTCATCGTATCGGTCTTGCGTATTGCTCATATAGCGTACTTGACAAATTATTATTTAAGTAATATATTACCTTATTTGGCTAGACGTTATTCGAAATAATTATGCATTATTTTATTTGAGCATGACATTACCTGCAGATCATTTCATTATTTGACTATGAAATAATTTGTTATTTTGTATTTGAATAAATTCTTTGAAACAAATATCAATTAAATTAGAAATACAGATTTCTTAAAATTCGAAAAAGTGAAAATTTCTCGCTTTATACAAATTTTCAATACGAGCGAATTCCACATAAAAGCCAGTTAGATCAAAAATCAAAGAAAGTAGACTAAATTCCTAGAGCTCTTGCAGCAGGAGTATATTAGGTGCTGATTAAATATTAGGGTAAAAAATCATCTTTGTCAAAGGAGTAAATTTCAGTATCGTTTATTACTTCATTCATAACCACACGACTAAAAACTGCGAAGTTGTTCTAACGACCTGTAAGATGATCGAGCGATTCCACGACCTAATTTAGTATAGCATGCTAAAATCTACAAATTTCTAAACTTCAAAAAAGCTTCGTTAAAAATTAGCAACTATCCGAAATCCTAAAAACTAGAAAATCTGAACTTCAGCTTGCAAATTTGAAGTTTAATCCACGTAATCTCTGTTGTCAATAATCCCTCAGTTTACGGTTATATCATCGACGATGATCGTCGATGTACACCGATGAGCGATGAAGCATCCGAGCGACGGTTTCCGAAGCTCGGAAAACCCGAAAGTATAAGGAGGAACGATTCGAGAACCGCTGCTTTCTTTCCCTCGAATTTCTTCGCCGCGTGTTGTACGTAACCTACGATCCGTCACGGGATAAGCGATGATTTATCATCGGCGAAGGAACTCGTTAGAATCGGCCGTGCAAGAGAGGCGAAACAGGAAGTCGTGTACCGTAACTTCTTCCGCGGTGCGATGTCGACGCTGATTTCAGTTACGACGCGCTCGTTCGTTGACGCCGTTGTCACGTCATCGTCGTCGCAACCCATCCAGGTTCGACCCAGTATGGGCTGCGAGAGGGAGGGTGTTCAAGGGGTGGATTGGAACTGCCGGTGATATGACCAGAACAATCAAGCAAAGTGTCACAAGTAAATGTCATTTATGCTGGAATAATTATGTTAGGTACATAGGGAACGATATTACGCATTTATACTCCAATGATCTTGCATCGTGTGTACGTTAGCTGGTTCGTTGTCTCGCCGGAAACTCCTGGCACCCATCGAGCTTTCGATAACGAGGGACGATTACGGATCGGTCGAACAACTTTGCTTACGTTTCGGTGCTTCGCCAGCTATTATTTCGATACAGCGTCAGAATTACGCGCGAGCAAACGAACGAAACGACCAGTGTCTGAGAAGAGAATCGACGAAACGTTCATCGATTTCTCGATCGAATCAAAGGGTAGTCGCATCTGTGAACGTTCGAGAAAATACGAAATCGATGTACGATAGATATTCGATGCGAGCGTGACTGAAGGGTTATACATTGGCGTAACTAGATACGAACTTGGCCACCCATTCAGTGTAGAGATTTACAGC